AGCGACCGGCTGTGTGGTATTTGTTGCCAGCTGGGTTAAACCACAACAGGCTCTTAAGTGCAAACCTTGACAACTCCAAAGGGAATGGAAACAAATCCTGATTGCACAGCTTGGCGGGCACTGGACAGCAATTAAAACAAAGGCAATAGCCTGTTAAGTTTCAGATTACAGCTAATCATCCTAGAGTTGAGGCTGGAGTTTATCTAATTCACTAATACCTATTTGATATCAGGGTTTAAGCAATGGATTGGGAGTGAGACTCTTGCCTTTCCATGACTAATATATAACCTGGCAACTATTGTGCAGGAAAAGAAGAACGTCATCTCTTCAAGCTATTTAAGTGTAATAGTTGCAAAACCTGGTTCTGAATAGCAATTAGAGATCCCCTTGCTTGCCTTTTGCTGTATTTCAGTTCGTCTGTCAAGCTGTATGTGACTCATCAGGGGTTATTTATAACTGGATAAGATGCAGGGATTAAAACCAGGGACTCTACTAACAATATCGAGCGGCATTTGGAAGATGTGCATCCCAAACCACTGTGCAGAAAGCTGTCCAGTGGCTGTCTAGCAGGGAGGAAGAATAGTGAAAGTTTGAGAAGAAATCCTCCCTCTGTACTGCCAACAGAACTGTTTTGAAGGTGGCTGTAACCATGCCAAGCCTGACTTGTATTTTTCCATCCAAGCTCTAACTCTGGTGCAAAGCCTCCACAGCTTGCTGAGAAAGGTTTTGGGGAGACTGGCTGATGGCTTGAGCTGTAGCCCATGCCTGAGGTGCCCAGCTGCTAACGTTGTTCCAGTAAGCAGGTGCTAAATGGGAAAACTGGTCAAACCAGGAACTGTGCTGGTGGTAAACACCTGGATAGCCAGTCTAACTGAGCAGAATCTGGGTTATGTGCAGTTTGATTTCACTTCAGTACCCGGTCAGATTTCAAGATACACATGCTTTCCTTTGAAATCTGTGGGGGTTCATTGCTTGCTCAGTGATGACTGAAAGCAAGAGGATAACTTCTGCACTAACCACTAGATGGTTCTCTTTCTCAAAGAAAAATATAGTTCCAAACTAAAGCCAGTCCTGGCTTTTCTCTGAACCTGATTGTTGGTAGAGGACTGCTTCAGTATAAAGCTACACGCAATTGACAGTCTCGTCTAGTTGCTTGGATTGACATGGTTTTCTGAATAGATTTGAATAAAAATTTTCATCAGTCCTCCAAATTCAGTTAGTGCAGCTGGGCCTCTTATCAATCAGCAAATACTTCCTACTTAACGTCCTTGAGGAATTTCAGCTCCAGACAGCACAAGTGTCAGTCTTATCCCTCTCTCTCATTCCAGGCTAATCAAAAACAAACCAGCAACGTTTTATTTCATTTCACACGCAGAAACCATGCTCTACCCCAGTACAGAAGACTGGGCATATTCATGGCTCAGGCCCTGGTTCATGGCATTTTCAAATTCTTCACCTGCTGGGATGAAAATGGCTTTTACTTCTGTTTTAAGATGATACGATCAAACAGCAAAACAAGACAGGATCCTACATATCCTGGAGAGAAAAAGCCCTTGCTCCAGTGATTGCCCACTAAAGATGAAGAAAGGATACCCACGTTTTCTGCTCAAAATCAATGTGGAGAGCAGTAAGAGATCTATGATGCAAAAACCGTGAAGGGTTTTACTTACTAAGAAGATACCCTCTTCAGACATCCACACAAAATTAGGGCAGCGGAAGCACAGCCATCGCCTGGTTCTTGGATGCAGATTGATTTTTAGGTAGGGAGTGTTCACAAGGTTCAAAGGGAACAAGCTAAAAGGAGGTTGCTGAAGAAAACATGTATATACGTTATTGATTGTGTTAGCTGTGGAAAGGTCTTTTGTGCTATCATGGACTTGAAGTGCTCTTCATATTTCTCAGTTGTAATCCTGAGTAGTCTGAGTAAACTCTTGAGAACTTGGATGAGGAAGACACTTAGCTGTTACTAGGTGGAAATTGGAGAATGGAAGAGTATTTCTCAGACTTCTTTACCATTTGTGTTCATACACATGCTTATAAAGCAAACTATTACATGTGAATGAGAAATTGATGTTAAACCCCACAATTAGTAATCATACGCCCCCACGGGTGGTGGTGGGAGTCATCTACTCGATGCCTGGATATTGAGTAAGGGCAGGGCCAGGCAACATTTCAGTCATGCTTCCTTGTACAAGTATCCCACAAATTGGCCCTAGGAAAAAAAAAAAGTCTCATTTCTACTGGGAAGTGGCTGCAGTGAAATAGTGAAATTTATACTTTGAGGTTTTCCCAGCTGGAAGCATCTTTATAGAAAAACTGAACAGATTTGCTACTGAACTTCTACCTCATCCTAGTGGGATTGCAGCATTTCCTATCCCATCTCAGTTTATGGACTGGGTCTCAGAGCCCCCTCTTCTAAGCACAGCTTTAAAATTTGTTTCTCCAGGTAGTCAGTCGCACCAGCACAACCCTGTGTCTCCAAAGATCTCTGCAGAAGAGCCTGCAGTCCCTGGGCAGCCTGGTAACACTTCACATCTTGGCCTCTCCCCAGGATGGTGCCGAAGGAGTGGAAGGCCTGCCAGTGCAACTGCTGCTCCTCAACAAACCTTCACGGTAAACACCGTCTTAGCTGTTAAAGCAGCCAGATCTGCAACAGCAAGGCTGCGATGACACTCAGAAGAGATGCCTATTGTAAAAATACAGTATTGCTTCAGATACTAGCCTCATACAGATTAAATTTTCTCTGTCACAAAACCAGTAAGCATCTGCTTTGGCATGCTGCTGAATCACAACTGATTTCATCAGCCACTCGGGTGCTTTATGGCACCATAGCCTAAAACTTCTGCAGGGGTGAGCTGACCCCAGCTGTGGGTTAGGGGCTTAACTGGATGAGAGCTGTCATGGAGTAAGATCCCAAGCAGAAAGGGGTAGATGGGACAACAGCAAGAAGAGCAGGGGCTGGGAAGGGGCACCTGGCCTGGCTGCTCCAGCTGGCTGGCCCTGAGAGCATCCCACTGTCTGTCTCCGCTTTCTCCCCACACCTCAGTTCCAGCCAGGAGCATTTTCCCCCTGCAGACACACGCTTCAGACAGAGCATTTCAGCTCCTGCTCCCTGCCCTGATCAATGGCTTTCTGATAGAGCCACCGATCTCTTCTCCTCCCTTTGTAAATTTAAATTTTGCTCACTAGGACTGCTGACGTCCCCCTGGCCCACCTCTTGACTCCCCCTCCCCCTTCGAGCCCACTTCCCTCTCAGTATAATTTTCCCCCTGCAGACACACGCTTCAGACAGAGCATTTCAGCTCCTGCTCCCTGCCCTGATCAATGGCTTTCTGATAGAGCCACCGATCTCTTCTCCTCCCTTTGTAAATTTAAATTTTGCTCACTAGGACTGCTGACGTCCCCCTGGCCCACCTCTTGACTCCCCCTCCCCCTTCGAGCCCACTTCCCTCCCAGTATAAAAGGCGCAAGCTCCCAGCAGCTGCCTGGATTCTGCTGGGAGCAGCATCAACCTGCAGAGCAGCTTTGGTGCAAACAGGTGAGTGCCTCCCTCTCTCTGCTTCAGTGCTTGTCCTGGCTCTTTCTTGCTGGATTTCTTTTTTCTTTTTTGGGCTTTAGCTTTTCTACATTCATGTACACAGCTGTGCTCTGTGCTCAGGAACTTCCCAGGCCTGGATTCACCTGGGGTTTAATCTCTTGTGGGGATTTCCAGTGCTGGCTTCAAACGTGAAAGCTATTCGCGTTTACATTGGAGAGGGGGGTACACAGCCACTGACCTCAAGTAAGAGGCTATTTTAGGGTTTAAAGAGTTAATAGCATGTTCTGAGGACATCCAGGGTAGGTTGAGACCTGATGGATCTGCAGTAGAGCTCGAATTTGGCGTGCTGAGAGCCCCAGTGTGCCCAGAGGGAGAGCCAGGCTGAGCTCCTACAGCTCATGTGAGGCAGACCTGCTGCAAGCTATGATGCTGCTGCTTCACTGGCACTTTAGTAGAGGCTTTAATGTGCTGTAACTTTTCCTTCTCACATCGATGGAAATTGCCAGACCACTGTCACAGATGTTGCTTGACCAAAATCAAAGGCTTTTTCCACTTAGGGACCAAGAAGTGGCACATCGACCGAGTTGGCAGGAGTGCTTTTTTGCTGAGCTCCAGGAGAAAAAATTATTCCTGGAACTTTACTTGTGTCAAGTTTTGTTTAAACTAGGAAGGTTTTAAAAATTTTTGGTGATCATTTAATGGTTGGAAATGGAGGGAACATACAGACTGACAGTATGAGGTCTTGTTCTTTTCTCCACACTGGAGAGATTCCTGAAATTGTCTTTTTGTCTAACTGAACTTAAGGCTTTGCTAAACATGGAGCACCAAGAGAGATACGCCTACTGAAACTAGAGGCAGAATTCATTGCATGTGATTTTAGAAGCTAAGATCATTTAGTCCTGATTGTTATGAGATGGTAAAGTTAAAAAAAGTTATTTCACAGTTCTGTTGAAATTATGGGTTAAAATCACTTTCCTCTGAGCTGTCTGCGAAGTGACTATCAATGTGGTAAAAGAAACAAAAAAAGACAAACCTGCACTGAATACTGGGGGTATTTATTTTAGGGGAGCTTTTGACTTTGCATTTGAATGAAAGACACAACCAAATCCTCCAGGTGTTTTTGTTGTGTTGCCTGTGCAGTGTACTAGGGAGCATCTCAGATCAAAAGCTTTTCATCCCTGCTCTGCCCCTGCTGAAGCACAGCTCTTAGGCAGCAATGGGGGGAAAATCCCACCCTTAAGTGGGGAGAAGCCTCCATTTAGGTGTAGCTGAGAGGATTTCCTACAGCTCTGGAGCAGTATAGCTACAGTGAGTGATGCTTAAGCAAACAGGGCTTCTGTAGGCAGAGGCTCCAGGCTGTGAAATACAGAGGCAGACCTCGCACATGTCCCTAGCGTGATGCTGGGAGAGCTGCTGCCAGGCAACTTGTCCAAAATGCCAGAGACAGGGTAACAATGCTCTGATGGATAGGAACACACCATTACAGTTGACACCGTCCTTCACCGTGAAAGCTTTAACTCATCTGTGTTCCCCATATTTGCTTCTCTCCTCACAGTCTTCCCACCGCTGCTCCATCATGTGGCATCCCATCTCGTGGACACCACGTGCCCAGTGGTCACCCAGGCACTTCAGGCTGGTCACTATCTATGTGCTGGTGCTCTTGGTGTCACTCAGCTTCGCTTCAGGACAGAGCCGGCCATTTAAACATCAGATCGACAACAGAAGTAAGAACGAGTCTCACTTGATGTCATGTGATGGACTCCCATACGGTGACCCCATGCTCTCCAGTGCATTGAAGGGTCACGGTTGGGCTGTCAGGCAAAGTGCAGCAGCAAATCCGGGTGGGCATTTCTACGGTGAAATGGTGGGGTGGGGTCCTCTGCTTCCATTTACACTTCTAAGTGCATATATAAAGCCTAATGTCCTGCTCGCAGCCCTTGATTAGCCAAAGGAAATAGCATCATTTTGGATAAATACCAGAGGATAACTTTACAGCCAAAGTGGATTTTTTATTTTCTCTGTTCAAGCATCAAAATGCACAGGGGAAAATCCTGCTGCCTTGTCTGAGACTTTCATAGAACTTGGATGATATATATAATGCACTTAAACTGAAATTTATTCCTATTCCTGACAGTCCTCTAGCTTTGCAGTGGTTTGGCATTTCCTTGGGGTGGCATCATCAAGATGTTCAGGAAATCCTGCCTTTAGGTCCAGCGGTAGATGCTTCACCAACTGCTTTGAATTCCAGGTCCCGAGATCGATCCTTTCTGGTACGTGGGCCGTGGTGTTCGCCCCATCGGTCGGTTTGGGAAGAGGCAGCTGAGGAGCAGCCGTGGCAGCCTGAGGCCCGGGAGCAGGCACCTGGATTTCATCTTGAATGCTTTGTGGGAGCAAAAAGTGTCGGACACAGAAGACAGTGACTGGTGACCCCTGTTCCAACCTCTACTCTCTGAATTGAGCCCTCCCCTGCACCTCAGACCTCCAGCTCTGCTTTTGCCCAGCAATCCCACGCTGCTCTTCTTTCTGCTCCTTGTGCAAGTTCCTTCAAAAAGAAATATATTCAGGGTGCAGGTAAAAGACAATGCATGGACACTAGCACTGAGTGCAACCATAGCTTATACAAATGTGTCTTTTTCTTACATCCCCACCAATCCCTTGATGCTGTTTACTGTAACATGAGGTTTATCCAAAAACCACACAGCTTTCATGCTGCAATTTCAACTCTGCAGTGTTAAGTGTATCACAAAACCTTCCTGTCAAGTTTCAAAGTCAATGGCTGTTGATATGTAAAAATAAAGAGCAACGGTTGGAAGAAAGATAAAAGGCTCTCACTATTTTAAATGTATCTGCATTAATGGCATGAAATGCTGGTGCTCTGTGTGTAGTTTTTATATCGATTGTCAACATCCACCCATAGGAAGGTAGCAGTGAGTCACCCACTGCCCCTTTATGATTCTTCCTGTGCTGCAGGAGAGATAGATTGATGAGGATTACTTGAGTATCACAAGCAACGTACCATCTACTACATTAGTCCACATCAATAAGCCTAGGGTTGTGGCCCAATACTCATGTTTGCCATGGTAATTAAATTTGTTCTATTAATTTTATATGTTTCATCTTTACTAACAACTAGTACCAGCAATAATATTTGAATGTGTTTTAATCTATGGCTTATATCCAAAAAAGTTATAATTTAGCTAGTGTCTGATGGTTAAATTCAGGCCACGAATTGCTCTGCAAAAGACAAATTAGAATTAACTTGCATTTCTAGTTGTGTTTTGTTAGAATTACTACTAAAATTTAACAGTGGTTGAATCAAATGTTCCTAACAGGATACTTCTCACCCCAGCCCCAGTGAAAAAAATCTGCATCAAGTGTGTTAACGTGTATTCCTCCCTGCAGCTAACCGAGGTCATTCTGTGGAGTTGCTGTTCTCCTGGGTTTAATGGGGGACAGGTTGTTTGTGGCCAGGCAGCATGTCCTGCACGCTTCCTGGCCAAAGTGCACATAAATCCAAACAACAGAGAAGAACTTTTGTTTTTTCTTTATGAATCAAGTCCTTGAAAAGGCATTCTTTTCATAAATTGCTTTTACTCTTTCATAATTTCTCTTGACAATAATTCTTGGTGAGTATGCAGGTAACAACAACAATGCAAGCTTCATATTCACTCAGACTTAATCAAATAGATCATATAGTCTTCATTTTACCCATTAAAATATTTTCATTTATAAAAATTAATCTAAATATAAACACTAAAGATTGAAATCACTTGATGACAAAATAATTCTTTGTGTGCTATAACATATGCTTTTATGATTTTTTTTAAAACAGCAAATTATATCTTTGCACATATTTGGCACAATAAACATTTGTAAAAATTCAAATGCCTTATAGCAGGTGGGATTTTTTTCCTTTTTTTTTTTTTTTTGCAATGCCTACACAGTACACATTTTTCTGTCAAAGAAGACTGAATAATTTAACATTGTAACACGATAATAGTTGTTTTTCATGCCTCTTAAGGAAAACAACCTATTCCAGACATTGCTGGCTTGTTTAAATCACACTAACAGAACAAAAGCCAGAGTTATTCTATTAAAATTAGTCATTTCTGTATTCGTATTACATACACAATATTAGTTATTTATTAGACGAATATGTAGACCAACCACCATTAATGACATTTCGTAACACGCATACCTGCATAAACCCAAACCTGGGAATGTCTTGTATACAGACACGAGAACAGTCAAGGGAGAAGGAGGAGACTGGAGAAAAAAAATTACTAGGCATCCTACTCTGTTTATTCTCCTTTCCTGGACTGCATATATAAATAAAATCCATTTGTTTTATATATATATTTATATTTTAAACAGAGTGGGCTAAATTCTGTCCTCACATGTGTGCAAACCAATTCCAGAGAACTCGGACTGTGTGAGAGTAAAAGGCGGCATAATTTCACCCAGAATAAATGCATCGTCAGATCTTGGGCAGTTGGAAATTCCTTGAAGGAATGGAGCAACGTGTATGTATTCTAGGTGGGAAGATGGTTGTGTTTATTCTGAGGGTTCCTTACATGCAGCTGGACATCAGAGTATTGACAATGGTAGTGGGGAGCACATGGCACCAGTGACAGGCTACAGACTAGGAAAGGAAGAGATGTCTGGGCTCTATTTGCCCCCTCCTCAGAACATCCAGGGAACAGTGTCAGGGAATTTCATACAGGTTGCAGCCACCCTACAACCACCAGCCAGTCAGCACAGATCTCATCTGCAACACTTTGACTTTCTTTTTCCACTGTTAAAAATTTGGTCAGAATTTACTCTGAACCACGGTGTGGTTGGACACGGCCAAGTGGACAATGCTACCAAGAAGAACAAGACATACAGAAGTGTGGGCTTCACAACAGTGTTCAGATGTTTCCAGACGCCAGGATCATAACCCAACAGACATCTGGTCCACATGTGCTGCCACCAACCCACAGTTCAACAAGACATACGTGAGCAAAATATGCAGCTCCGGAGCTAGAACATTAACTCTGCCAAACATACATTGCATCTCATCCTAGAACCCTGCCAGAACTTGCCCTGCCTCCCTGGGAGCAGAGCTAGGTACAGCAATCCTCCACTCCCACCATGCAGCTGGAAAGCAACATCCACTGCACAGAGTTGTTCTTATTGCTCAACAGGATGGATGTCTATGTGAACAGTAAGAGGCCAGCAAATATGGATCACAGGTCTGCTTTGTTCTTTCTTGTTGTATCAAATATCAGCCTAGAATTATGACTGAGCATACAAAAACATACTGCAGTTTAAAGACGACATACTTAGTACAATCAATGGGGAGAAAAAGTGCATCTCAAAATGTGGAGCCTTGCTTGTGAAACTCAGCATCCTTTCTAGAGTCCTGTGAGAACTTTAAGGCAGAGTTTCCTTTAGCAGACCACAATGCTGAAGACTTGGACAGCTTGCTCAGTGAGGTATCCAAACGAAGCCCTATGACTGAGGCATTGTGGGTTCTTGAGGGTCCATTTTCATCTGGACGTATGCGATGGCTGTTAGGTAAAGGCACTCGAGTGTACAGCCTCAGGCAGTGCGTTACTGGCAGTAGCGAAGTGTAAGGTTAGTACATCACAGCAGATCCTAGAGCAGGTTCCTAGAACAGAGAGGGACAGGAAAGAAAAAAAACCCATGAGCAAAACACAAAAAAAGCTTGCTGAAGCTTCTAGGGAGCCAGGTCCTTCCCCTTCTCCCCTCCCTGCCTATTTTCCATGTATCTAGTGGCTCACTGCTTGAGCAGTCAGCTTTTTGCCTTATCCCTCTACAGCTGCTCTAGAAGAAATGATTGACAGCTGTCCAGTGAAGCTTGTTTGTTCAAACCTTTGAACATTTCTCAAAAATCCATGAGATACAAGGTGACTCTCACCTGCTGAGTTACAGCATGCAGCTTGTTCTGTCAGGGTCTGCTTCAGAAGTCTGAATTGCAGGGGACCACTGATTTTTTTTTTTTATTTTTTTTTTTAAATAACAGTAGCACATTCCTGGAGACCTGACAGCCAGAATACATACAAGACAGGCTGACATTCAGGAGTACACAAATGCTATACTGTGGCATATAGTCAGACAGCTCCTAGGACACTGGTTGTATTTGTTCGGAGCTGCCTCTATTCTTTTTCCTCAAATGATTAAGAGAAGTTTTGTGGAGATGCTGAAACATAGCTGCCTACACAGATTCCACTGTCTTGCTATTTCCTGCTGTTAACAGCAGTTTACAAACATTTGTTATGAGTTTACCATTAAGTCCTTGGCAGTGCTTTTCCTCTCTTTTGTTCTTTGTGTTAGAGATCCTTGAAGCATGAAGTTTCTGTTAAACGTTCTGACAGTGGTAACTGGAGATCCATCTATTTTTTCACCTGTGAAAAATACAAAAAAGGAGATTTTTCACATAACAGACTGAAGCAGATGTAACAATACTACCAAAGAGTCACTGCTTATAGAGAGATAAAACTTCCCCTAAGACTTACGGGGAAAGCTGAATTGAATTTAAATGAAACCCAGCAGGCTGTGATACTCCAAAGTTATTAAGTTTCGGGCCATGACAACCAGTGGAATTACACAAGAGTAAAACAAGAGGTGAAGCAGGTCCTAGACTTGTCAGAGGTAAGTTAAGATAACTGCAGGGTTGAAAAAAAAATGAGAAAACATGAAAGAAAAAAACCCCACTTAATTTTAATAAAGACAATTCACAGCCATACCCTAACATACCAGGAACATTACATTCTATTGAACCTTATAAGCCAGACTCTCTATACAATGTACAGAACAACTGAAGTGCACCTTTTGTCGGTGGAGCTGGAAGTTTTCTCCTCTGCTGCCTTGACGTGTCTATTGTATGCATCTGTAAACAACAAGTATGTGTTACTCAACTCCATTACAGTAAAAGAGGTGAGATTTCCCCAATGTATTTTTGAATACTACATAATGTTCTGGCACCTGGTTCATTTGTTTTTGATCCCGTTTCCGTGTCAGGTGAACACATGGAGCCACGTTCAAGCCTGCAACAGTGAGAGCTGATATTCTGCTCTCAATATCGGAAATCTTCAAAGAAAATAAGAGAGAGACAGACAGATGGGGAGAGGGAAAAAGAAGTTTTAAAATTACTGTGGATGCCACTATTAAAATATATCCCTCCCCCCCTCCCCCCCCGGTCAAATTCTCTTCAATTAAAAAATACAAACAGATAACTTCTGCAGCAATTCTGGCACTTTCCTGGACTCTTTAGTCCTGATGTTAATTTGTTAGTAAAGGCGGAGTAAAAAACCAACCCAACCTACCATGTGACTCCAAGGAAGAGGCATTTTACACCTTTTGAGGAAAAAAAAGGAGAAGAGAAAAATCCCTTCTGCCATCTCCCAGTTACCTTTAGCTGCACAATCCCCAGTTCATCCAAGCTGTGTTTTTCAAAGCCTACATTCCAAGAATGACTTTGTGGGACACATTTCCTAATTCAAAATTAATTTAATGCACACGCAAAGTACATCCTCCATCACAAAATCTCAACACTTGATCATAAATATTTCTTATTTATGTGTATATGTATGTTAAACAAACACATGCAGAAATGCAGGTGCACACTATATAAAAACACTCAGTGGAAAATAATTTGCTAGGAAAAACAAAAGCCCAAGAAAATAAAACATCTGGGGGAAAAGCAGGCTGATGTTTAGACTAGGGGAAGCAAATGTTGTCAAAAGGGAAAGACGTGTCAAGACATACAACCCAGCTCCTGATTCAGGATGACACCCTGTTCAGCTTTTAGCACCAGATCCCAGTGTTCTCTCCTGAGCCCCAGACTTTCTGGAGCCAGCTAGAGCTATGCTAGATTGCAGCCCACAAGAGCAATCGCCTTTTGGCCGGGATGGGTGCTGCTCAGCGGCTAAATTCCAGGGCAGGCTCGGAAGTGCTGGTTCTGTGTTTGGCTCAGTGCCTGGCTGCTTTTTGGTCTTTTTCAGTATAACAGTACTGACACTGGCTTCTTTTATAAGGTACTTTACAATCTGCTGATTAGATAAACTGCCTAAGGCTGTGTTTGCAGCCCAACAACCACACATGTGACACAGAGTATGCACGGGAGCAAGGTGCAGGTTCAGTGTTAGTGTTGCAGTAACAGGCTGTTGCACTCCTGTATCTGAAAATAAGATGGAAGAAGAAACAAACAAATAAAGCACATCTGGCTGTGCTGAGTGACACATCTCAGTTAGGCTTTGCTCAGCTGCTGGGATGCAGTCAGCATCCTTGGATCATCAGTCCATTGCGGTACAAAAGAATATTGCAAGTAAGCGCGTGTGGACACAAGGGAAGTGCTAGGCAAGGCAGTGGGAGACCTGCAGGTAGGGAGGAGCTGCTGGTCTCACCTGGAGCTCTGCATGATGAACCTGGGCAGCTGCAGTGGCCACCTGATCCTCCAGATCGGCCAGCTCAGATTCTGCCGTCACGCTGTTGATCTTGCGAGCGGCGTCCTCCAGGTTGGTCAGCTGCCCCTCCAGCCCGTATACCGTGCTGGCGGTCAGGTACACCTGCGGGGCGAGGCAGAGAGTGGGGTCAGCATTTTCTGTTTGTGGGCATGGAGGTTTGTGCAGACTGCGTCTTCCACCATGCCTTTGAGCTTCCCTGCTTGCTAACCCACTCCGGGGAGACTTACCTGGCAGATGAAAGGCATGGGGGAATAATCTGAAAGCACACATGCCCAAAGAGAAGGGAGGCGGGAGGTGGCTGAACTCCAGATTTCAGGGGTGCTACCATGGTATTGCAAAACAGATTTGGTCCAGATTCACCAGCAAAAAAAGAAAGCTGGAAAGTTTGCTTTTTAATTTTTGATACGCAATTGCATAACAAAAACTGTGATGTCTACAAGGAGAAGTCAACAGCTCACACCCCCTACAGAGCTGCATTTATTGTAACATGCCTCATGCCTTCTCGCAATGAAAACCCTGTAAGAGGAACTGTCTGGCAGCAGTGAACAGCTGGAGTGAATCTGTGGAGGGTCAGTAGACTTCTCTGGGCCACATAAAAGACAATATCAGACTTTATCATTTAGACATCTTCCCTGTAAACAAACAACTTTTAATATTTTGACCCACCTACGACACCTCTGATTTAAAAAAAAAAAATCCCCAACAACACATCTAAGCACCCCTTTGAAACCTGATTTTCAGTTCTGTTTGTGCATTTGTTTAATAACGCAAAATGAATTCTGAACATCCACTGATGTGCCTATGTGTTTTCCCTTTCTGGTCGGCACATACCAATAGGTACACTCACACGTGTGAAACTCTCCCATGCTGATTCACGTTCTTACATTTTCTTCCAGCGTGGTGAGCTGCTCATCGAGCCTGACAGGGTCCGTCCCCAGTGGGAACGTCCCTCTTCCTCTGTCCTGAACATCCGCTGGGAAATCACAGGGACTGGTGGATTCTGCTATCAGTTCTTCCGTGGCGTTGATGACTTTCAGGACCTCTGTAGATATGTTGCAGAGAGAGACAGCAGAGTACTTCTGTTTTGTTACAAGAGCAGACAGAGAAAACAACAACAGCATTAAATTAGCACCGAGGGGTAATGTGTAAAATCGCCTTGCTCACAGCTGTCGCTTTAGCCACGCTAAAACCATATAAATGTCTAACTGCTGTGAACGGACACGAGAACTGTGTGATGAAATTGGGATCTACTTTTCTTCTCCCTCCCTTTTTCACGTATGCACACTGATACAGCATGCAAAATAAAGTACACATGGAATTCTTCCACAACACGATTTCTACAGGAGGGATGGTCCAGATCTTATCCCTAACGAGCATACAAATATCCAGCTTTAAAATCCAAGTGAGCTAGATAAGGCTATTTTTGCAATAGAGTTTTAAACAGGTTTTCAAGCACAATCTTCCTTTTCGGGTCCTGGCAAACAGATGTGGAAACATCTGTCTCAGTATCTACAGGAGCTATTGCATTGCAGCCACAAAACACGGGAGGGCAATCTGCAGGAGCTCTATCAGGACAGCAGTTTACAAAGGTATTTGCTATGAATTATATAATAGCTCCAAAAAAACAAAGGTTGAGCTATAAGCATGTAAACACTAGTATCCTGATTTTTTAAAAATTTAAATTTACTTTTTTTAATATTTATGAAATAAATTCTATCAAATATCAAGGAAAAAACATGCAGTTTTATCCAATTTGTTGCTTTTTTTTTGTTTGTTTGTTTGGTTGTGTTTTTTTTTTTTTTTTTTAACAACTGTAAGCCTTTTTATCAGTGTTCCTGATTTGTGATTTGTAATTAACTATCTTGATGCTGATGATTCGCACAGAGCTTTAGGCGTCAGGACAACTCCTCTGACGGCAACAAAATTTCACCTGATGTACTTTTAAGCATCAGGCTCAACATCTGAACTATACAGCTTGGAGACTGAGCCAAAGCTTGGTAAAGCCAATAGAAATACTGTCCCTGAATTTATGTGCAATAGCTTTAGTGTTGCTTTGCCTAGAAGAAAGCATGGGAAGCTGAAATCTGTATTTAATTCATTCCTCAAACCTGCAAATACTTATGCATGTGAATTTGAGGCCCACCCATCTATACATTTTTTCACAAACAAAATATCTGAGGATCAAAACTGAGGAAACAGACAGTCTTTGGATTCTATACGGTAAATTCTATAGTACAGAAAAGTCTAACTGATTAAAAGTGCCTGCACGTTACAGAAACACTGTTATTAAGATGTCAGCTGGCCTCCTAAGCAGGATTTAGGAGAAACAATGGTTCTTTGCTTCACACACACTCTGGTGGGTTTAACTAGAAAACCTCTTATATTATCTCTTTCCTGCAATTAGCTGCTCATTTTTATGTTAGGTAAGACTTTCACTGAAAAACCTACTTTTTTGACAGCATGTGCTCAATTGTTGTGCATCAATACATTAAGGCATCTTTAGCACTGTTACTTCTCTGAATTGCAAGAAATAATTAACAGATGAGATTAAAGAGAAGGAGAACAAAGCAGATACAGTATGCCACAGCACACAGATCTCTAGCTTGCTAGGACAGTCAGCACAGCCCTGAACAAGGTGGCCTAGGACTCTCTTCTTGAGAACAAATACTTGAACCTCATAAACAGCCTACTGGTTTTTACCACTTATTTTCACAAGTGCCAATTAGGTTAAAAACAGATCAATAATTTTATAGGACAGAAGAGGAAATCAATGTTACTTTGTTTTATTATTTGCTTTTACAAGTATTCTATGAGTAGTGAACAAAAAAGGATAAAGGCCATACACTGCATTTTCTTCATCATCTTCATTGATGTGTGTTCTGTTTCAAGAACTGTAGCCTCACTTCATTGTTCATTATTTCTTAAAACTTTTTATTATCTTTTGTAGCTAATGATTGATTTCCAAAAAAGATTAGATTAAATTAGAAAAAGGTGTTCTTAGACCAGAATATAAGAATCCATACTGGCATGTATTACAGACCAATTAGTGCAAAACAGGGGGTTTGGGTTTTGTTTTCTCGGTGAAGTGTTCTGTGATAGGAAGCTTTATGAAATGAAGATTTTGAGTGAAGTACCCTACCTTCTCAATATGTAATGGATAGGGGAAGAAAAGTTCAATGAAAAGGGAATGTAATTTTTAGCTTTTCTAGAATTTTGAGGTAAGTTCTTAGTGGCAGATACTGTTTGACTTTTCAAACCAAAGATTTGCTTCCCATGAAACGTTGCACAAGGAAGCTGTATGGATGTTCATAAAGCGTTTGCACCAATGAACATATCTTGATCCCAGCCTGCAAGGATCTAGCTAGATGCAGGAGTCACAACATTAATGCTTTTCTTTTAAGCTTGTGAAACTTCTGCTTTTATAGTGCAACAAGGATAGAGCACTAGGGTTTAAACACCGTAAAGGAATGTGTGTTAAAAAAAAAAAAAAAAAAAAAAAAAAGATATTTTCCTTAGGGTATATCTGAAGGGCAGATCTCCCAAAACCTAAGCGCACAAGCAATATTTCAATGTATTTAAATCTAAACTTTGTGAAGGCTTTCTGCTAAAGGATATTTAGGACTCAGCTTTGCCCTGGGCTGCATTTTATGGAAAAGCAAGAAGAGATTAATGTCTGCTGGAGAGAGACATAAAATCAACATGTGGGGAGTTCAAGCATTCTCAAATGGGACAAATTGGATACTCAATATTTTTGTGTGTGTTAAAACAGCTCCCATTCCAAATGGCCAGTTTGCCAACCTCGGGGGGTATTCTAGATATAATTATTTAACATGTGTAAGATTAAAAAAAAAAGTGTCATGGAGTTTTAGTGCTTCACAACCCTCTCCCCTCCCTGACCATGCACGTCACACTTGGGATTTACAAGGTTCCATAAAAATCACCTAAAATTCACAGACACATGCACACCAAGATCATCCTGGTAGGTGGACGTTTCAAATTGCTCTAAAGGTCTCTTGGCTCTCTCATTTATCTTGCCCTCGCAGGAAAGGTCATTGTTAATGTCCATCAAGTATTCAAAGAGACAGCTATCGTGCCATGATGAAGTCTCTCCCACCTGGCTTGTCAAGCAAGTCAAAGAACTAATGTGGATGTGATAGATGCAGAAAGCAATCTCTATTCCAAATACCTAGCACAGAAAACCGAAGCGCAACCATTTTTCTCTAAACACTGGGTTGCATTCTGATTCAACTCTGCTACCTTACTTCTGGATTAATACCGCCCCATCCCAATCAAATCGATGCAGCTGGTCCAAATTTGAATTGTTTCTACTGATTATGAGAATCTAATTTTTTTACTGAATTTGAGACTAAGAATTTAATAGAATGAGGAAAACATGCATTTATCCTTTTTATGCTAATTAATGCCCACACTCAAAAGTATGTTAAAGACAGTCAAAAGGAGATGCTCCATTTCCCCAAGTTCTTTGTGGGAGAGTTTTAAAACCAATGAAATACTAAAAAAGTATTTTTGCTTCTATGATGTTATGCCATTGTTATGATCTATTAAAATGGCACGGGAGGTGGTGACTTGCATTCCAACAGAGAACAGCTGACATCAACAGTTAGATCAAGAAGTAGAGAAAGGGAAACTTTCCATCACTAGCAGCCCTGGCAGTACTGACTGCATCCTTGATGACTTGTAACTTTGCAACCATTTTGAGCTCCAGCCTCAAGCCCTTCTATCATGTTTGCATGCCCATTTCGCAGTCAATATCCCTCATGAGTGAGCCCTAACCACTCATTACCACAAAGACTGGGAAAGAAAGCTCAAATTGGCCTTGATATTTGATAGCAGACAAGTATACTATGATAAACTGTGATATTAAGGAATTACTCTTCTGTGCAAGTTTAAGACTTCCTGCCTTGACCTAAACATCAATGTCTTAATTTAGGGGCACACATTTTGAAAAGGAAAGCTAAATTATCTTATAGAGTGAGCTATTATTCTACTGACATGCTTGAAAGTAAGACACAGAGAAAGACAGTCTCTCTTTTCGATTGTGTTAGGTAATTCTGAGTATTAGATTTTCACTAACAAATTCAATCCACTGCCCTAATGGAGTTACAGATGTTATCTGTAATAATTTGCAATGCTTCATTTCTAGAGACATGTTGCCTATAATCATGACAAAGGAAGTTATTTTCCAAGAGGTGACATATTATGGTCCAAATTGGAAAAGAAAATATTTAAATCTTAAAATCTGTACAGGATTTCTGTAAGAGTATCTATAATGGGCACAGGCTGATCACACGGCACAAATGTAAAAACATTTTTTAAGATCTTCCTTGAGATTTTTACTAAAGAAAACCAAGATGATTAAAAGGTGATTAAAATTCATAGTACAAAACTTAGAGTAAGGAAAAAAGAAAGAGTTGAGAGGACGAGTGTTTTGCTGAATTAAGCATCAATTTTTGACACAAAAAAGTTCTTATTTTATGACTAAGAGAATGCTACAGAAATAATTTGCTTACCACTGTATGTGACATAATAAAAATAGCACGTTGTCCCAGTTTCAGGACAACATATGTATTTTAAAATACAAGATAAGCATATATTTGCTCAATTGTTTTAATATGTGATTTTCATATGCTGAGACTCAAATAGCACAGAATACAAATGCTCTTCTCATCTAGACAAATGATAAGCAATGGACACTAGCAGCAACGTGAGAAAGGGCCTACTCACAGTGTACAATCTCTACAATGAATTAAGGGTTTTGTTTATTTTCTAAATTCAGAGCTTAGAAAGATTTTTGAAGACCACAATGGTCAGAAACTGCTAAAAATCTTATTGTTGAAATAACATTTTAATTTTTTTCCTTACAAATTTTTAATATAAAAGGTGAGTACATGAGAATAGGAAGATCATACACCTTACAATTGTCTTCTGTTCTTCTTTACTGATAAAACCACATTCTCATCACAAGGCCAAATAAGAGAGCCAGTCCACTCCACAGGTCAACTTTATGTTCATCACTCCCATCATAACACAGGGCTAGCTGGGATTATACAATAACTTTCTGCAATGGTTATTGATTTTGGCCAAAAGGTATGATTTCTCAGGCCTGATATTTCTAGGAAAACATTTTGCGTTTCAGAATTTTGCTTGGGAAATGTGGAAACCCTCAATATCACTTTCTAGCATCTCTTACTACATAAGAGATGTAGGAAGACACAGACAAAACACAGCATTCTCACCTGCTGCAATACAGTGGATAAAAACTGCAGCTTTAAATGAAGATCAAAAGACTTTTGTTTTTCCTAGACAGTGGGAAAGCAGTTAAACAAAAGGGCAGAAAATTTATGTTAACAGCTACAGAGGTTAACATTTATATAGGATTCAGACTTAATACCTAATCTAAATCTGCCTTCTTTCAGCTTAAAACCGTTACCCCTTGTCCTATTGCTACACTCCCAGAAAGAGTGCCTCCCCAGCTCTCCTGTAATCCCCTTTAAGTCTTGATATACTAAATACCCTTTTTAAAGCACCAGCTCAGCATGTGATTTATATGAGATTCCCAGCTTCCACGAAAAGCTGAAGTCCAGAATTTGAACGGTGCAGACTCATTCAATACACAATACATGCTTTTTGAAATCTTATTCTATGGTCAGGTGCACTGTAACTAGGAACTCCCAGTGATTTAATGTTGCTCACGTGTTCCAGAATAAGCTTGAGATGAGAAGACTAAAGGCTAACAAAGACAAGCAGCGTGGCTAAAATACAAGCAAGATGGCTAAAACACTGTATCTAATTTGTATTCAGGAGCTCAAAGCAGACTGTAGGCACTCAAGCTCTCATTTTAGTGGCCCAGAATTAGTGCTCCTGCATGCCTGATTTGATGCCCTGGGCAGAAGTCTGGGTCTCTGGCCGAGAACGTTAAGTGCTGGTCTGAAAGATCTGCAATTCCCCACATATGCATTCTCCAAAAATCAGGATTCTTAAAGAGGCAGCATATCGGAACATCTGTCTTTTAAAGCACCTAAAATTACTGGTTCCCTGAAAATATGTTTTCTATGCTTGCCTCCATGACACATGCCATCTACTCATCACAAAGTTGCTGCATGTTTTATGAGTTTAGCTAGGTCTTCGTATTTCAGGTTACCACAGCCACAACTGGCATTATATACTGTCATCTTCTGTATTCCATTAGAAGATGTTGGTCAGCCACCTTTCCAAAGAGAAGGCATGAGTCAGAAGATTTTAAATCATCTTTAAGGACAACTGCCAAGAGTAAGAATGAAAGCAGCCTGCTTGTTTCTCTACAGCTGGACCAAGTGCTGCTATCAATTCCACTGAAGTAATGACCATGAATAGCACTGGGATATGTTAGTCTTTTCATTACAGACAGAAAGAATATATATTGCGACCATGAATGACTAAGACTCTTTTCATCCAAAGCCAATAAAGAATTAGGAACTCCAAGCATTCTCTTTGTGCTGAACATGGTATGTCTCACAGTTTTAAACTTAAGGAAATTTTACTGAGGAAAAACATACTAATCTTTGTGTTATTTTAAATAACTGACATACAAATGTTAAGGACATAATAAAATTAGATGAGGAAAAACCAACTAATATTACTTTGTAGGTGCATTGTAGGGTGAAATGGCACAAAGGGAAGATCTCAGACATTATCAGAACTGACACTGGATTTCAGTTTCACTAGAATATCTTATTACTCACAGAGGCCTATTAGCTGACAGAGTAACAGTGTTGGAAAGCCTTAAAAAAGACCAAAATATTCCAGTAGAGAGGCAAAAGAAGAATCTATGACATCAGAATGAACTACTCGATACTAAAATAGGAGAGCAAATAAAAGGACTGAAAAAACACACTGAAACCAGCCGGTAGCAAGGAGGAAAAAAGAACTAGGTATGTTTTTAAATAAAAACATATAAGCCACTTCTCAGTCAGTATGAACTAACATAATTCCATTAATATCAGTCAAAAGTGTATTGTACAAGCTATGTTCACTGCTCTGAATTGATGCTGTAGGCTCACAGGAAGAAACACACACCTTCACTGACATTTTACCTGCACAAGAGTTGCAGGCTCTGACCCAGTGTAAAGGACCTCGGGTTTTTTTTAAGCAATTGTGGTTAATTTTCTAATCAAAAGTTTCTATTTTTGGACTCTTAACTTTTACAATATTAGCCCCACTGCTCTACAATGACCACTTACCTTCTTTAACTCTTCCTGAATACTTCTGCCGTTTTCCTCTGAAGACAAGCTCTCCTTTTGGTTTTCGGGGTCTGTTCGAGGTTCTGACTCTTGTTCTTCACCAGATGATGTTTCCTTGTCACTCATTTTAGCAGCGAGCTGAAATAACCTGGATTTAAGCTCCTCTTCTGTGAGGTCAGGCTTGATGTTATGATGCTGATCCTCACTGCTTACATCTGTTTCTGATAAATCATCAAAATCCTACAAAGAAATTAGAAGAACATCAAGTCTCAGTCTTCCTAGGACCACAAGGTGGGCAGACAAGAAGGTGGTATTCCTCTCTTGGCAGCAGCAAGGTCTTGTGTTACCTCAGCCACATGTCAAACTGTTACCAAAATGTTCCAAATTCTAGCTTAAGCTTTAACACATACAGAAGAATTTTCCTAACTCATTGGCTGGGAAACTTAAAGAGCTTTTTGCTGCATTTGCCAGCACAGGTGGAAGTCATAAGCTGCCTTGGCATCCCTAGAGTTTTATTCCACATTAGCTAAATTTGTGTTATGAATACACATTGTTTTTTGGGGGAGTACTCACCCTGAGGGTACTGATTTTATTACAGCTGGATTCAGGTATGTCTATTATCCACCTTTCTGCTTTCCAGCCTCCTTACAATGAGCAAGTGGAGTTTTGATATTTGCAAGAGCTGTTAGTTCCTGCTCACACACAGAGATAATGACATCCTATAATGCTACACTTGGTTTCTGTTACTGGTAGGCTGCTTGGTTTGTGTGCCGAGCTTCTCAGATGGTGGTGTTGAACTATTTGTGAGGAGGTGATACCTCATTCATGGATTAACAGATTAAAAAATGCATTAGAAGCCATAACAACAATAAAAAATAATCAATACATTGACAGGTACTATTATTAATTTAATAGATCCTATCTTAAACTTCATTATATTCTTTACTGTTCACACTGTGGCTCTATGTGGTAAGTTTAATGTAATCCTAGCAAACAAAAAAAAAAAGCCCCAAAATCAAGCAAACAAGCAAAATACTGGCTTGGAGGCTCCAGAACCAAACCCGTGTTATACTATAAACTCTTGAGAGAAAGCTCCATTCATACAGGAAACTAAAAACCAGAAACTACATTTGTTAGGACAGGACACAAATAGTGAGGCTTGCAGGCAGTTTCTCAGCAAGAGTTTGAGTAATTTCAAGGCAGCTATTCGCAATAAATACAACCCAAGCGCCATCCCGTGGGGACTGGCAGTCAGACAGCGCTTGCCCTGGACCTGGCTGCGGGGCAGGAGGCTGTAATTAACAGGCAGGGGCTCCTCATCAAAGAAGAAAACTCATAATGATGGCACTGCCCTCACTTGAAGCAATTAAGCCACTCCACTCTCCATCAGAAATAGAAGAATTGCAGCTACCCTAAGCAACATCGCCTCCTCTCAAAAAGATAAGGAAAGCCAATGTATCAATCTTATTATTACTAATAATATCAATTCTTATTATTACTAATAGTAATAAAAGCAGACAGAGATTGGTGGTTTGAGTGTCAATTTCTTGTAAAAAGTTACAATTAGAAAAATAATTCTCATCAAAAGCAAAGTTGCACTTCCTGGTTTATTTTCCACAGCAATGTAAGTCTTCTGTGGTACATAACCAATCAGGTTATCAGGAATTTCTTAAAGTAGGACCTTGGTTTCATCAGGACATCTGTTTGTTTTCTTTTTTTTTAAATCAAATTACAAATTATTGAAATGGAAGTAGTTTGTGAACACCTACCCTAACACACCTGAACTGATCACCAAGTGACTAATTAAAAGCAGACATCACTTTTAAACACCAGCCCTTTCTGAATTTCTGCTGCTCCTTAGCTTTATCCCTTACCAGGACATTTGCAAACAGCACACAGAAGATTGTCAAGCATGAAAGTTATTTCTTATTCCAAGAACAGAGGAGTTAAAAAAAACCCCAATGCAACAGATTAGTAAACAGTTGTTGGTAAATCCTGACTTTTTTTTTTTTTTTAAGAGCACTGTTAACAATATCACTGATCAGATTAAAGTGGCATATTTGAGAAAGAGGGAAAGCCTGCTCATGGTATATGTAACACTTTGCCTTTGCTTCTTCTCAGTTATGAGGCATGAGTAGGATAAAGCTTTCAAGAACCCTGCACCTCCCACTCACTGTTCACACATTATTGCTAGCATAGCCTCATTAGTCTTGCCCAGCTCTCTTTGAGATAGCACTCAGTAAGCTCAAACACAATTACCTGACTTAAATTCATCTTGTTGGCTTTTGTGCGATTTTTTCTTTCACATAATTCTTCAGAGATCACTTTGTTCTTCCTCCACCTTCTTGATCTCTTTTCTAAACCATAACGGACTTCTTCGCTCTCGCTGCTGTCCAAATACTCCAAGCTGGTTGCCTGCGGGTTGAAGTTTACATCCAGTTCTCCGTGGAAATGTGTTTTTTCCATTCTGGGCATATCGCTTTGAGTTCTGCTTTGTAACCAAAGAAGTTTGCTAGGTCCTTTAGCTTCCTGGGAAGAGTTTACTGAAGATGTTTCCGAATCAGAGAACAGTGTCTCAGTGTTGGTGTATAACCCAGAGGAAGGGGAGGTCACTACCTGGTACTGGTCGTTGCCATAAACCCATTCAGTACCATACTGGGAACGGGTGTAATAGAAATCGTCTGGTAATTGCCGAGGTCTCCGATGCAGTTTGTTCAAGGCCATGTTCCAGTTGTAGTCATCCTCACTGTCTGAGCCCATCTCATCATAGGCAGACACAACACTGGATTCATTCTCCAAAGCTTCAAACACTTGACTCTTTGGTTTGGCGAGCATTCGAGGCCGAGGCAAAGTGACGTTCTGCAAAGCAACCCAGTTTCCATCAGTGCTTTGGAAAACAGAAGGTGGATCTAGGAAAACGGACGAAGAACAATTATTGCTATGTGATCACAGTGTGCACGGCTCAGTATACTTGCCAGTTTGCAATCAACTGGCCACCAGCTGGAGGGTATAAATGCTGTGTTTTTCAAATGCCTTCAATTTGGTGTGCAGTTCTGGTCCCCCATCTTAGAAAGGAAAGATGGGAAAAGGATCAGAGAAAAGCAACAAAAATTGCAGCAGATTCTGAAGCGGCTTCCATTCAAGCATTGATGAAGTAAACCAGAGCTCTGCTGTCTGGAGGAGAGAAGACTGAGAAGATACCTGCTAAAAGAGATGGGGGAATCTCTTCCAACCTAACTACTAGAGGACATCAAATGAATCTAGTGAACAAAAGAAAGAAGTGGCATGCAATGGGTACCAGACCTGTGGAACGTCTTGCCTAAGGGTGTTATGGATGCTAGAAATTAATCTGGGATAAAACAGAGACGGCTATGGACACAGAAGAGAAATCCACCGAGGTTTACAGGAAACCACTTCTATCTGAGGTAGCCATTCAGCTGAAAGTTCTGGAGGTGTAGAGCCTGCTCAGAGGCAGCATGAAAAATATGTGCTTTCTCCTAATCTATCCTAGGCTCTTGCTTACGGTTAGTGTTGCTCCTGTTGTTGTATCCCAGACTAAATACACTTTTTGTCTGACCCATGCACTGCTGCTCTTGTATGTTTACAGTTTTTCAAAGTATGTTTTACAACTCTGACAGGAAAAAGAATAAATGCCATAAATACGGTCAAAAAGTGCGAGATAAATCACAGAACTTAATTTCTTCTAAATTTAGATTCCATTTCCAATCCAACTTGAAAAATCCCTTCATAGGAAATGTGACTGTGTGATGACTCTGCCTCCCACAGGAGATGAATAAATACATAATGCCATGGAGTTACATAGAAATCT